CCGGACAGCGATGCCGAGGTCTCTTTCACAGGTAGGCGCAAAATCCTAACTGTGGGCATGCCAAGGAAGGTCAAAAAAGTCAAGATGGCTGCCACAATCACGGCCCACCCCCTTTTTTAATGGGCAGGGCTTTGATTGCAAAGTTGTGTCCGCCATGTTGATATTTTTGCCTCCTGTGGCTTGCATGGATACTCCTGACTGTTGTTGTGGGTTGTGAGAATATGACTCTGATGGTTCTCCAAAGAATAATCCCAAAGGTGCTTTTCTGAAAGGCAACTGGAGAACAAAGCCCAGCTGCCCCTTGAAAAAGCCCCTTTGGGACAACCGTGACCTGGACGACTGAGAATCTCCATAGATGTTCTTCAAGGGAGAAGTTGGATCTTCTTCCAAAAAAGGGTAGTCCCTTGTGGTCCTCCTCCTCCTCCTCTCTCTCCCATGTTCCTGGTTCCTTTTTCCAGATGAACCTTCCATATCCGACATCAACCATCCCAACGGGATTTACAGCAGTCTTGGGGAAGACTCCCCCGTTCTGGCGAAACAAGCTGGGAGCAGTGGAAACTTCTCCTTGGAACATGGTGGCATCTCAGCTCAGGACCAATTTCACGATCTCCGGTCAAACAGCCCTTACGGGATGCCCCCCTCACCAGGCTCCTTACAAGCTATGTCTGGCCACCCGTCCTTAATGTCCAGCTTGGTTTACCCAGACCACGGCTTGGGCATCGTAGGCCAAGGTGGACAATCAGTGCCTCAACCCATGCGGGTGTTGAGTGGGAACGGACCCAATTCAGATCTCTCTTCAGGAAGCAGCGGGGGATATCCGGATTTCCCAGCCAGTCCAGCTTCTTGGCTAGATGAAGTTGACCATGCACAGTTTTGATACCGGACTGGAGAACTCCTGGAGCTCCTTAAGAAACTGGACACCCACCTGGAATGACCCAGGAGACCCAGGCAAGTGGAGAAATGTTAGCCAGCAGAGAGAAGTGGAAACAAGGGAAAAAGGAGGGACATGCCAGCTCTTGACCAAGGATGGCTCCTGGAAGGAGTGGAGGAGGTGAAGGGACCATGCCCAGCTTCAGCTTGATGGACCCCCATCGGCAGCTTCCTCCCCAGACACGGCTGGACCTGAATAGACTTTTTGCTTCCCAAGTTCGGTGAAGCCTATGTGAGTATCAGGAAGGAGGTCCCGAGGGGTTATTGGGGTTCCTCCGTCTGTTCTCCTGTGCATTTGTCATGACAGGGTCTGACCCAAGAGAAGATATTTTTTTATAAAATCCGAGGAAACCTGCCACCTGAGGGGGAAAGAAGAGAAACCAAAATAGCCTTAGTTTTCTTTCAACATATGTGAGTAGAACAAGAAAATGTGTTTCTGGGATGACCTCATCTCATTCCCTAAACAAGAGATGACAAGGGTCCCTCCTCTTCCTCCCCCCCCTCACTCACTCCTTCCCCCTTTCCTTCCTCTTCCTCTTTCCTTCCTTCCCTTCCTCTCTCTCTGTCCCTCTCCTGCTTTCTTCCCTTCCTTCCTTCCTTCCTTCCTTCCTTCCTTTTTCCTTTTCTTCATGTCTCCTTCCTTTTCTTCCTTCTTCCTTTCCACTTCTTTCCTTTTCCTCTTTCTCTCTCTCTCTCCTTCCCTCAAATCCCCTTTCCCTTTCTCTCTCTCTTTCCCTTCCCTTCCCTAATACTGATTTCCACCCAACCAATAAGCTTTAACCTCTCCTTTTAATGAGTATTTTTGCGTCCTCCTCTTTCTTTATATTCAGGATGATGCATTCAGCTTTGCTTTGTCTACCATCTTTCGTCCCCCCCCCTCTTTCCCTTCCTTTCCCTTCCTTTCCTTTCCTCCCCTCAAACAGAATAAAACAGCCTCAACTGTCTAGATTTTCAAAAGCCAAGCATTGAGTCTCCTTTATTTTTATTTGTATATATACATATATATATATAAAAGTCACTGTAATTAATATGTAGGCTATTTTCTATTGCATTGTAAATGATCTGCTTTAGCTATACAGACTGAATGTCGTTTGGATCGGCTCAAAGAGGGTCTGTTGTGTTTTTTAAACAATTTCTGACACGGGAACGGATATGTGTCTGGATGCTTTTTAAAAATCATTTTTCTTTACCAATTACTTTACCAATTACCAGTTTCTCCCAATTTCTCTTCTCTGATCAGAAGGCAGGTGGTTTTGCCCTTAGGCAGGAGACATAAAATCCGGCAGCTGGTGGGAGGGGCCCATGTACCCCCCCCCTTTATTGATTGGCATCCCATAAAACCAACCGTGTTCTCAAACAGACCTGGCTAAAGAGGTCACTGTCAATAACGTGCATTTCCATGCATCCCTTATACCGGGGAATCTGCAGCACTGCAGACACAACCAGCACACAGACACAACCAGAAACCACCCCCCCCGCCCCCTCCTTTTTAAGAAAATGCTGAGTCTGCAGTTTTGATCTGTATCTATGCCTTCTAAACTGACAGGTCTTTGAAGCTGCTGCCCAAACATTTGCTAAAATGTTTTTCTAAAGGATCACTCCTCTCACTGACAACAATTGTGCAATGCACGTAATCCTCGACTTATAACCGTTCGTTTAGTGACTGTTCAAAGTTACAATGGCACCAAAAAAAGTGACTGATGACCCTTTTTTGCACTTACGGCCATTGCAGCATCCCCAGGGTCACGTGATCAAAATTTGGACACTTGGCAAGTGGCTCGTATTTATGACGGTCGCAACGTCCTCTTGGGGTCACGTGACCCCCTTTGGCGACCTCCTGACAAGCAAAGCCAATGGGGAAGCCACTTAATGTCCAAGTTACTAACAACTGCAGTGATTCACTTAACAGCTGTGGCCAGAAAGGCCGTAAAACAGGGCGAAGCTCACTTAACGACTGTCCGACGTAGCAACAGAAAATTTGGGTTCAGCTGTGGTCCTAAGTCGAGAACTATCTATGTCTGGGTTTTTCTGTCTTCATTTGTTTTCTGTGATGCCACCCAGAGACGGAGGATTAAAACCCGCTGCGATTTCTCAAGGGTTGAATTTATTTGCTCCTGTGCAGAAGGCGACGCAGTTCAAGAAGATGCGTTCGGTCGGTCGTTGTGTGTTCCGACGTTTGTCCAGTTTGTGTCTTTGCTTTCCAGTTGCCAAACGCTTTCCCACCTGGAGCAGTTTGTCCACATCTTTTATTAAAAATCTTTAAAATTTAGGCTCAATTTTTGTATGTTCAAGAACAGCCCAGTGACAATTTAAAAAACAACAACACTTTGATTGTCCCTTTATATTGTGTGTTTTCACAGTAGCCAAGAACAGACAGATTATTTCAGTATGACAAAACAATATCTATATATCTATATCTCATAACCTGTAAAACTAAATATTAAGTGTAGGTTATGTGTAATGTTTGGTGTCTCTTTCTCTCTAATCAAATACCATTAACATTTGCAATAAATTTGTCAGCTAAAGATTGATGGGGTCTTTCACAGAATTTAATCTATCTTGATTTAAAACATGCACCCTGATTAAAAGAACCAGATCCACCTCCAGGGCTCAGCGGGCCCCCAGGGGCAGCCCGTAGCTATTTTTCCACGGCCAAATATTCTTTTAAGTTAAGAGAAAAGATGGGAGAAACATCTAACCAACGTAGAAGGGCTATAGATTAAAAAAAAAAAGTGGCTTATTGATGGTGTGGGATAAATCCTGATCAAGTTTGCAGTTCACAAGACTGGAGATTATTCAACAGAAATTTCCAANTTCCAACTAGCGGGACTGGCCTGAGGGATTTTAAAGGGGGTTTTAATTACTTTTAAATTGGACATATTTAAATATTTCGTTTTAATCAAATTTTAATTAAGTATGTATATATGTTAGTATTTTATTCAATTGTCAGCCGCCCTGAGTCCGTAAGGAGAAGGGCGGGATATAAATGCAATTAATAAATAAAATAAATAAAATAAATAAAACAAGAAAATATACATTTTTGAGTTTAATGCCAGCATCTCCACTCAGTTAGAAACATTAAAAGGAAGAAGGAAAGAAAGATGTGTGTGAAAAACACCCCTAAAGATAATAAAGGCCAATTTTGAATTTCTGACTTCCCCTTTCTTTGTTCTCCAGTACAGAGTGGTGTAAACTGTAAAAAAGCAGCCACACTCTAAATATTTGTGTTTACTGTCCATTGCTGCATCCTACACGGTATCTAGCGAAGAAGCCGTTCTAGGCAGCAACTGGTTCCGACGGTGGCTCCCTCCTGTCCAATTTTCCTGCTTGGTTTCCAAAGGTCTCGATTCCGCCCGAAACCAGGAAGACACCTGAGAATCGCCTTGAGAGGCAGTGAAAACCAGGGGAAGAAAATTAAAGGCAGGAAAGAAAAGAACCAAAGTGAAGGTGGTTTCCAGGCAGCGTCAGACCTGCTAAACTAGGGAGTTATAAATAGCCAGGTGAGAGGCAAGGAGACTGACATTTAAACCGAGATTGAAAAGGAAGGAGCATTAAAGGTGATTAGTAAACCTCGAGTGACTTCTGCCTCTCTGCAGCTTGCAACACGTAGTGACCTTTTATTCTCCATTGCTTTCTTTCAGCCATTCCCCCCCCAACTAAATTCCCTTTTTACAAAGTCTGTCTCTTCCCTTTGGCGGGTGGATTTTTATTTCTGTTTAATTGTCTCTGAATCATCTTACCTTCAGATTTGTTTACCTTGCAGATTCAACTTCTACACTTCCTTGGGGAGTTTAAAATTAGGGTGTTTCCCCAAGACCTTTTCATATGCCCCTTTATCCGAAGGGGGATTTGCAAAACCAGCTCAAACAGTCATGGTGTAAAATTAAATATTAAAATGGAGGATGTTCCTGATCCCGGGTGACTGGTGTGGCGTGGATACAGCCCATCCCACCAGAGAGAATGGGCAATTGGCTTGAAGGCTGGTTTTTCAGATTTTTTTTAAAAAATAATTTTATTAGAGTTTACAAATATAAAGATAAAAGAGGAGTACAAACTTAGAAAAATAGGAAAAGAAATAAAAAAGGGAAGTGCAGAGACAGGAAAAAAGAGGCATATTTTGGAGAGAAAAATCAGAGGACTTTCCCTTTTCCACTTTAAACAAATAGTTGATTTTGTGTGTGTGTGTGAGAGAGAGAGAGGGGGGGCATAATATCCTCCTGCCCCCCCTGCCCAGCACCCCCCCCATCAGCCGGTGGCGAGTAAATCAGGGCAGGCAGCGACGCCCCCACGGAGCAGCCGGAATTAATGCCCCACTTGGGCGCCTAATGAAGCGCTGGGAGGGCGGCCGACCCTGCGGGACCCCCCAGCTGCCCCAGAGAGGGTCTGGCCCAGCTCCGGCAGGATGGATGGCCGGGAAGGGAGGCAGCAGGTGGGGGGAAATTCACTTAACAAATGTCTCACTTAACAACAGAAAATCTGGGCTCGATTGTGATCATAAGCCAAAGACTACCTGCAAATTCATTACTAACCGAAGTAGCTGATTATGGTTCCCCCCCTCCAAAGCTGTCTGTAGGTGATGAAATTCTGTGAAATTCATTGGGGGGGGCACATATAAGAAATAGCAGGATTCAGACAATAGAAAATGAATGAATGAATGAATGAATGAATGAGAAAGAGAAAGAAAGAAAGAAAGAAAGAAAGAGAAAGAAAGAAAGAAAGAAAGAAAGAAAGAAAGAAAGAAAGAAAGAAAGAAAGAAAGAAAGAAAGAAAGAAAGAAAGAAAGAGGGTTGCACTTGAGGAAGTTGTAATTAATTTGTGCCTTTGATATGTCCGTGATCTTATGCACCAGAAGATCCACATGCATAAATTATTGTCACATTGGTGTAATGTTACATATTTTATTATAAAGTGCTCTTTGGTGTTATTAAAAATGTAAATGCTTACTCC